ACATTACAAATATTTAACCTGACTTTGTAAAAGGGGCATGAGCGTGAAAAGAAAGATTCCAGTAACGCCTAAACTTTACCAAGAAACAACATAATCTTCTGTTGTTGTTGTTGTTATGTGCCGTAGAGTCGGTTCTGACTCATAGTGACCCTGTACAGGGTTTCCGAGGCTGTAAATCTTTACTGGAGCAGAAAGCCTCATCTTTCTCCCGCGCAACAGCTGGTAGTTTCAAACTGTTGACCTTGAGGTTAGCAGCCCGATTCATAACCACTACGCTGACCTTCTGTAAGAAGGCACTTAAAATCGTTAGGGTTTCAGGAATCCAGACAGTTTTTTCAGAACCCTAGGTCTGTTTGAACCACAAGGTTAGTGGTTCAAACTCACCAGTCACTCCTGGGAAACTCTACACAGGGTCGCTATGACTCAAAACCCACTTGATGGCCACATCAGAATCCTGGCGTGGATAAGCACTGCACTGCTAACCACATGATCATCTATTCGAGCTCACCAATCTTTCTGCAGGGGAAAGATGAGGCTTTCTGCTCCTGTAAAGATTTACGACCTAGGAATTTCTGTACAGGGTCACTGTAAGTCAGAGAAAAAGAGCAAGACCCCCCCCCCCCCCCCCCCCAAAAAAAAAAAAGCTCATTGTCACCAGAAGAAAGGAAACAATAAAGATTAGAACAGAAATAAATATTGTCAGAAAGGACCAGTCCCTGGAGAAGGATATCATGTTTGGTAAAGTGGAGGGTCAGAGAAAAAGAAAGGACCCCCCAGCGAGATGGGTTTGCACAGTGGCAGCATCAGTCAGGTGTGGCAACGATTGTGAGGATGGCCCAGAACCGAGCAGTGTTCGTTCTTTTGTGCATAAGGTTGCTATGAGTCGGTACCGACTCCATGGCACCTAACAATAATGGTTATAACCAACACACAAGTACTGCATAGGAGCTTTGATGGCACATCAAGTTAAGAATTGGGCTGCTAACTGAAATGACAGTAATTCAAACCCACCAGCTGCTAGAGAGCGATGAAGCAGGCTCAGCAACACTAAGCATCCCCAAGAGTCAGAATTCACTTCACAAAAACAGGTTTAGGTTTGGGGTTTGTTCGAGAGAGGGTCGGGTTGGGGCGGAGCCAAAAGGCGCAGATCTTGGGCGGGAAGTGGTGGGCGGGCCGAAGAAGCTGAGTGAGGGTAGGGTAAGGAGAAAGGACGCGAAGGAGTGGGACGGAAGGCGGGACAGGGAAGAGCGGAACCCGAGCCAATTGGAGAGAAAAACCGGGAGGCCCGCCCTCTCGACGCTTCACCCGGAAGAGCGTCATCAGCTCTATAAGAGAGCGTGCGCAGAAGCCCTCAGCCTTTTGCATTCCGGAAACGTCTGGTGTGTGCGTACGGTTATCGTGCTCTGCTTTACGCGCTGTAAATATTAATTGGGTCAAGAGTAATTAAAATGCAGAGCAACCTAGTCTCCCGCTGTAACGGTAGGTCGAGACCGGTTTTTAAGTCCTCCGTATTCACTAATGTGGACGGACTCAAGTTCTTTCCGTCCCTCGGCGGCCACGTGCAGCCCTGGGCCCGGAGCGCCAGGCTGAACACATGAGACAAGGACCCGCGGACAGAAACCAAATATGCCCTGCATGACTGGGCTGAAGGTCATCAGTTCTGTCGGTGACGTGTGGGTATCTTGAATCTACTCTTCGTTCTCAGTAACCCAAGACGAGCCACAGTTTTATCCGCAAAGTAGGTAAAAGTTTTGGGGTTTGAGTTTGCTGACCAATTTTGGGGTTGTGAATGCCCATGTATCTTTGGGACCTGTCAGCTGTGGCAGTCTCCCTTCCTAGCCATGGAAGAGTATGTTCTTGTTTATTGGCAAAGCTGTCACCATTTAATTGGTATCAGATTCTGACTTGCACAAGTAACATTCTTAGCTGTTAAAAGGCCGGGAGCGTTCAGTTACTGGGTACACTTGTTAACTGTTGCTTAAATGTTTCTAGGATACTGAACTAATTCACGACGGAAGAGGGAAAAGAATAAGGTACGTTTCTTTTTTCTTCTGAGATGATATGAAACCCCTTCACTTGGAGGATTTGGAATGCTAAAGTTGGCCTTTTCCGCTGATGTTTAATGGCTTTAAAAAGTTAATGGCTAATTGATGGAAGTTAACTGAACTTACCTGTGAGGACAGTAGGATAGGATACTCTATATCTGAGTTTTATATGCTGCTTTTTTTCTCGCAGATTCCAAGAAATTTCAAGTGGGAAGTGACATCTTGTTCAGCATATAGTGACTTAAGAGTACACCAAAGAATTCAACCATAAAGTGAAATCGATGCTTCAGTGTTAAAATGGAATAAAATACTTTGATCCCTCTGAATCCTGTGTCCTTTGGGTTAATTAGTTTAATATACTTAAAAATGTAATCAGGCTCTTGTTTCCTGGTAAGTATACTTGTAGAAGTGATTCGAGAGGACATTTTAAATGTTAAAAGAAAAGAATCATTGAGTTGGTACCACACAGAATATACCAGTTATACAAGATGAAAAGTTATTTATACAAATTTGCTTTGAATCCCTTTACAATTGTATTTTTGGAAAATCACACTTTACAAAATGTTATGCTACTTTGAACACCACAAGTCTCTTAATTTGTATATTGTCCATGGCTGCCCTGTTAACAGGCAATATGGCATTTAATTAAAAGATTGATAAGCCTTAATCACATTACAACATAATATATATATAAATGAGTGGACATAGTACTAGTTTGTAAGGGCTTTAGTAAGATTTTTTTTCCCAAAAAGTACATTTGAGTAGCACCAGTTTACTTTGAAAGGGGGAGCCAGGTTTTTATAACAATTGTTTATATTAAAGAGGACTTAACAGCCAGGCCTAGAATGTAGGTAAGTATTTCTGCCTTTGAGACAACCTTTTAGATTTGTTAACAGACCACACAGGAATAACTTTAAGTTCTAGAGTTTGCAATCAAAGTATGAATGGTGGTGGTTATGTGCCCTGGAGTTGCTTCAGACTCAGTGACCCTGTACAGGGGTTTTTGAGGCTATAAATCTGTACGGGAGCAGAAAGCCTCTTTCTCCCATGGAACAGTTGGGGTAGTTCAAAGGAGCTCTGGTAGCATAGTGCAAGGTCTGTTCAAGCTCACCAGCTGCTTCTTGAAAGCCCTATACAGGGTCGCTATGGGTCAGAATCGACAGCACTTCACAACAACACTACCAAAGCATGTATAGAGAGGAGGAACTTTCTTATCAATTTGGACTATTTGGTGTAAGTTGTTAGGTGCCATTGAATCGGTAGCAACCTTATGCACAGCAAAACGAAACACTGCCTGGTCTCTGACCCTCCAGCAACTGGTTCCTCCTGACAATATGTCCAAAGTATGAGAGACAATGCTTGGCCACCCTATTCTCCAAGGAGCACTCTGGCTGTACTTCCTCCAACACATATCTGTTACTTCTTTTGGCAGCACAAGACCATAACTTAAAAGCATCAATTCTATGGTCTTCCTTATTTACTGTCCAGCTTTACAATATGAGGTTATTAAAAATACCATGGCTTGGGTCAGGTGCACCTTAGTCCTCAAGCTGACATCTTTGCTCTTCAACAGTTTAGAAAAGTTTTGTGCAGCAGATTTGCCTAATGCAGTATGTCTTGATCGCTGCTGCTGCCTTGAGTTTTGATCGTTGGTGTAAGTTAGCTACCAGAAAATTGCAGTAGGTGGTGCTCTAGCACCGTGACTCAAGGTAGACTTGATGCCTAAGAATTAAATGCTCTCCCATCAAAGATAGTGCTGACCCTGTACGGAATTTTCTACAAGAGCAGAAAGCCTCATCAGGAACAGTTGGTGGGCTTGGTTGCAGACCTAGTAACAAAATTTCTCTTGTCATGGCCAATTAGAATTAATGCAGCAAATTGCATTTTGAAAGTACTGGAATAGTTGCCTGTAGCTCTGGTAGCGTAGTGGTTACGAATTGGGCTGCGAACCTTAAGGTCAGCGGTTCGAAACTACCAGCTGCTCCGCAGGAGAAAGATGAGGCTTTCTACTCCTGTAAAGATTTACACCCTCGGAAACCCTGTATAGGGTCACTATGGGTCGGAACCGACTCGATGGCACTTAACAATTCTATCTTGTATAGTCTTGAAGGAGTCCTGGGGAGCTGCTGTGGGTTAGGACTGCAAGGTCAAGTTCACCAGTGACTGGAAACCCTGTATACAGCACTCAACAATAGCCCTGAATTATAAATGTAAAGATTAAGATAGTATACTCAATAAGTTCGCCCTTCATTAGAAATTGTTTCCTTCAAAATTTTGCTAGTAGTTTTATAACTTAGTTTTTTCTTGTGGTTTCTGTAGTGCTTGGTGCATACAGGGGTATTTGCTTCCATAATTGAATCATTTAGGAATGTATCGTGATGGGCAAAAATGGGTTTTTTGTAGCTAAGTGATCCTATTCTAGACTATATAATGCAATTTCTTTTCACTTTTGGCCCTTGGCTTGCTCACTTAACAATGTAAGATTTCATGGAGCTTTTTGGAAAGATCTGAGCTGAAGATGTTATATAAATTGAAAATAATGACATTCTTATTTTAAGTGCATTAAAGGGTACTTTGACAGATGTGGTCTCAATCCATACACATTGATTAGACTTTATATGAAGTTAATTCCGAAACAGTATAAAAACAATGCAAAATCAAAATACACTTAAATTTCTCTAAAAAATGAAATGAAAGAATTTAGTCTAGCTAGAGAAACTAATTTGACTAGGCAACTGCTAATTAAGAATAGTACTAAACACTGAGGTATCTGTAACCAGTAATGTTCACATCACAATTTCTCAAAAGCAGCAAGGGGTATACAAGACTGAAATCTTTAATTTTTATCACAACAAAAGCGGAAGTGGGAATCTCAGTCCCCATTAGTTGTCATCTCTGGCTCAGTGCTAATTTTCCATAGTATTTAAATATTTTTCTTGAGGTTTCCATAAACATTTACAGTTTGGTGACACTTTTTATCCAAGATACAAAGGCTGAGACTTTGGTATAAACACCAGGAGAATCCTTGACCCCACAGCCATAACCCCAGGACGTCACACCAAAAACAACCCAGCTCTCTCCAGTCCTTTCACACATGAGTGGTCCTCCGCTGTCTCCCTGGCAGCTGTCCACCCGTTTCTGTTCATGGAGATTTCCAGCACACAGCATCCTCCCTGTAAACCGACCCTTATAACGTTCTTCACAAAACCTCTTAGGAAGCAATGGGATGGCTGCTTGTTGTAGAGTTCTTGAATAGGCTCGTCCTACTCGGATCAAATATTCAAATTAGTCAATGGGATACAGCCAACAATGGGGGGGAAACTACATTTAGCAGTTAAAGTGAACATTCAAAGTCTTAGGTATTGGGGTGAGGTGGGTAGTGAGGGGAGAGAGGAATTCCTATTGGTTGTTAAGTGCCATCCAGAGGTGGGGTAGTAGGGAGAGGAAGGAATCCCTATTGAGTTTGTTCCAACTGAAAGTGACCCTATATAGGGGTTCCAGTGTAGTGGTAATTGGGCTGCTAGCTTCAGGGTCAGCAGTTCGAAACTACCACCTGTTCCGTGGGAGAAAGATGGTTTCTGCTCCCGTAAAGATTTACAGCCTCGGAAGCCCTGTACAGCGTCACTATGAGTCGGAACTGACTCTACAGCACATAACAACATAAGGAGCTCTGGTAGTGTAGTGGTTACAAATCGGGCTGCTAACCTCAAAGTCAGCAGTAGGAAACTACGAGCTGTTCCGCAGGAGAAAGGTGAGGCTTTCTGCTCCCGTAAAGATTTGCAGCCTCGGAAACCCTGTACAGGGTCACTATGAGTCGGAACCGACTCCACCGTACTTAACAACAACATAAGGAGCTCTGATAGTGTAGTGGTTATGAATCGGACTGCTAATCTCCAGGTCAGTAGTTTGAAACTACCAGTTGTTCCATGGGAGAAAGATGAGGCTTTCTGCTCCCATAAAGATTTACAGCCTCAGAAACCCTGTGCAGGGTCACTATGAGCTGGAACCAACTCCAGATTCTTGGTGTGGGCTGCAGGGTCAGCACTGGACTGCAAACCACAAGGTTGGTCAGCAGTTCAAACCCACCAGCAGCTCCTCAGAAAACATATACTGGGTCAAACCACAAGGTTGACAGTTCAAACCCACCAGTAGCTCCTCGGAAACTAGGGTTGCTTTGAGTGGGAATTGACTCTAAGGCACTTAACAACACTTACCCTATAGTATCACAACAGGACTCTATAACTATTGTGGCATTACCAAAATCAAACCCAAACCCACTGCCATGTGGTCAACCCTATACAGAGTCTCCCAAACTGTAAATCTTTACAGAAGCAGACAGTAGAACCTTGGAGTTAATGGAACAGAGAAGCCCAGCTTCCATCCTACAGCACCACCAGGGCTCTTTATGGTGGTATTTGTTATTGTCGTGGGGTCAGCAACCCCGCATAGGATTTCTGAGGGGCGGCTGGTGGATTTGAACTGCTCACCTTGCAATTTAAACTGACTTTAGTGCTCATCCTATAGCACCTATAAGCATTCAACCTCAAAGTCAATTTGAGCCACAAGATCAGTAGTTTAAACTCACCAACCGCTCCTCAGAAACCCTATAGAGGGTCACTATGAGTCAGAACCAACTTGACAGCATTAACAACAACAAAGAAAACCTTATTAAAATTACCAACTGTAGAAATATACTGGCTCAACACTCTTCAGGGGCACAATTATCAGTGTAATTATTTTTAATGGAGAGTCATCAACCCATCATTTCTCCATATTCAATAATCATTTGTCGCCTAATCCACCCATCTGGATACTAACTCATACACATGGATCTAACGCTACAGTGAGAATACAGAATGCTGTGTTCACCTGAAAGGAACATTAACTAAATACTCTTCTGCTGAACTTCTGGTAAGAAGCAGTGCTTCAGCGTTCAGGTTGACTTTTTGAATTCACCCAGCATAGCTCCAGGAGAAAAACCTGGGTGTCAGCTCCCATAAAGATAACAGACAATAAGACTACGAAGCACTAAACTGGACAGCACCTAACGACAACAACCTGCTCCTGCTTAGGTGGAGGGAGGAGAAGGTGAAAGTGCTGATGTAGGAGGGGTTTAAGGAGAAACTTGAGTTGCATCTCCACTTCAACCTCAGCGAATCTGCTTTTAATTCCTATATTTAGGAATTCTCCACAAGATTTGAAGTCCTGGTGTGGCACTGTAGGATAAGCACTGGACTAGTAACCACAAGGTCAACAGTTCAAACCTGCCAGCAGCTCCTTGAAAAACCTACACAGGGTTGCTATTGGCCAGAAGCAACTCAACAGCACTTACCAACAACCAGAAGATGTCATTTGATAAAGGATTCTATTACAAAGAAACAAACCATCAACCACCAGTTACCTGAAAAAGCTTTTAAAATACAGACTGCTGAGCCCAAATCATGGGGTGAAGTCTTAAAATCTCTTGTCTCCTAACTAATCTGAGAAACTAAACTTCTGAAGGATTCTGTAGTTCTTAAGCCCTATGAGGCTTTTTTCTGCTCCCATAAACATTTATAGCCTCGGAAACCCCATGAGTCGGAAGCAACTCCACAGCACATAACAACCAGATAATAGGGGTCCTGGTGTGGTGCTGTGGGTTAATGCACCAGACTACAAACCATTTGAACTGCAAGGTTGGCGGTTCAAGCTCACCAACCACTCCTTGGAAACCCTATACTGGGTCAGAATTGATTCGATGACACATCACAACAACAACCAGGAAATAATAAGTAACTAGCATTTATGGACTTGGCAATAGAAGAATTTAAACCTAATAGAGCACATTGTTAATATTTGAACTCTGTATGTTAAAAGGTTGAGAATGAATTATTCCACCATTGTATTAAAGGAAATTCTGTTCTTTGTGGTAGATGTCTAACTGGAACAAATAGTATCCTCCCAGGATATGAATTCAAATTATATGCATATTTCTCAATTTACAGTATTTCCACAAAATTTAAGATTTAGTGAGCTTGGTGCAGGATTGAATAGTGTTTCATTCTGTTGTGCATAAGGTTGATATCAGTAGGAACTGACTCTACAGCACCTAACAACAACATCCATTATACACTCAAATGAGTGGATTAATCCCCAACAAGAAACTGCCTAGACTTCTTTTTTGTTCTTTTGAATTATTTGCATTACCTGTGTCTCCCCATCCGGTTATGTAACAATTGGGAGCTGTTTTTTGTGGCCTCTCCCTCTTGAGTGGTAAGCAAACTGGCAAAACGTGGCTGCTGAATCTGGCACATTGTTCTTCCAGTCCTTGCAGTCTAACCAAGGCAATGTCGTAGTCACTGCTGTCTGGCCGATACCCCCGGTGAATCACAATCTGTTGGACTCCAATTTCTTCTTCAAACTCTTCTGGCACCAAAGTATGATAATCCCCAACGCGAACAGCATAGTTCTTAGTGCTGTTACCATACCTAAGAAGCAGACAGAGCAGATGAAGGGCTTGCTTCAAACACTAAAAACTGGTGATTATCAGCAAGGAAGATTAGGACAGATGCTGTAAACCTGTGTTCATTTCATTAGTTCCTTTTGTATATTTAACCTTTCCATTTCTCTGACCCACTGCTCCTGGTCCTTTACTTAAAAACCTGCCATCATTATCTCTCTTCACTCTATAATCTACATTAATTTCAACTCTGATGCTCTCATTTCTAAGATGTGAGGATGAGTGGAAAATAAAGAAGAATCATGGCATTTCCCCACCAGAAAAGAAAGAATCAAAAGTGGAACAAATTGTAGAGGACAAACTTACTGTCCTGTATTTGCTGTCTTCATTTCTCTATCAATTCAAATACTGGTAATCCCTCATTCTTAATTTGTTTTTAATGTTGTAAAGTGCCATTGGATCGGTTGCAACCCATACCAACCCTGTGTAGGGTTTCCGAGGAGCAGCTGGTGAGCTTCAACCAACAACCTTGCAGTCCAAACGGCTTTGCAGTCTGACGCATTAAACCACAGCGACGCACCAGGACTCCTTGCTTTTAATAGATACACTCAATTACTCCCATTTCCTGAACGCTATTCATACATTCCACCACTTATATATTTTTATTCAAATGTTACTTCAACTGAGCCTTCTTTGATATTGTTTGTTGCACTTGTTAAGTGCCATCTAGTCAATTTCTACCCATAGCAACCCTGTATAAGTTTTCAAAGAGCAGCTGATGAGCTTGAACCACCGACCTTGCAGTTCAAGCTGATTTTGCAGTCCAGCACATTAACCCACAGCACCACACTAGCATTTAGAACAACAACTGCCCTGCCCCAAAGAAGAGATGCATGCAACGTATATTCATTGAATTGTCAACGAATAAAAATATACTTCTAATATTAATGTTTTTTTTTCTCCATGAGATGTTAGTCTACTAAAACTGAAACACAATGCTCCCTAGATTGATTGTTACCAACCTGCTTTTCAACCAACATACCTTGATTCTGATATATCTTATATTGTTGTTGTTAGGTGCCATCGAGTCGGTACAGACCCATAGCAACCTTATGCACAGCAGAAGAAACACTGCCCGATCCTGGGCCAACCTCGCTACTGTTGCCACACTTGAGTTCATCGATGCTGCCACTTGGCCAATCCACTTAGTTGGGGATCTTCCTCTTTTTCTCTGACCCTGCACCTTACCAAACATGATATCCTTCTCCAGCGACTGCACCCTCCTGACAATATGTCCAAAGTATGAGAGACGAAGTTTGGCCTTCTTGGCCTCCAAGGAGCACTCTAGCAGCATTTCTTTCAAAATGGATCTATTGGTTCTTTTGGCAGTCCATGGCCCTTTCAATATTCTCCTCCAACACCATAACTCAAAGGCATCAATTCTTCTATGGTCTTCCTTATTTACTGCCCAGCTTTCACATGCATATGAGGTGATTGAAAATACCATGGCTAGGGTCAGGCACATCTTAGTCCTCAAGTTGACATCTTTGCTATTCAACACTGTGCAGCAGATTTGCCTAATATAATACATCGTCTGATTTCCTGACTGCTGCTTCTGTGAGTGTTGATATTGATCTAAGAAGAATGAAGTCCTTGACAACTTCAATCTTTTCTCCATTAATAAGAATGCTGTTTATTGGTCCAGTGGTGAGGATATTTGTTTTCTTTTCATTGAGATATAATCCATACCGAAGTATCTTCTGTTCTTCTAGCCACTCCAGGCTGGTTTGCGTGTCCTTTCAAGTGGAAATTTCCCACCACTGAAGATTCTGGATGCTGTTGAGGTTTCCACCTATGATTATATGTAATGCAGAGGCTCCATAGGAAGCCTCCTTCACTGGGCACCTTGTAGCCCCGTTTTAGGTATTCCAATCAATTATAGGCAGAAGACGGACTTACAAGCTTTTTATGGTGCTATTTCTGGCTATTCCTTTCTCTCCCCCTCTAGTGTCTATTTTATAGTGGTATGCCAGGGAAACCAAGATTCAAAAGACAGTCAAGCATCTTAACATTATTTTCCCCCTTTTCCCCATTCCAACTATGTCTCAATTCCTGTATCCCAGAGCCCTGTTGTTCCAAGGTTGTGCATACATCATTCTTTACTTCTGTCCCACTTATCCCATGCAAACCTGCCTAATTGTTCTCCCATCATTTTGTTTATCCATTCCCCTTCCATTTCTTGTATATTGCCCCCTCCCTAGCACCCAAACTATCCTGTTTCTATTCCCTGCCCTGTGCTCCACCTTCCCCTCCCTCCCCTCATCCCACCCCCCACATCCCAGTAACCAGCAAAGAATGCCCTCCCCCGATCAATACTTCTTGATTGCATGTTTGATCGATTTCAGATTGAAGAAGTTGGTAGAATTCTTCTCTTTCAGCCTCACTGACTTTAGTAGTTGGTGCCTACATTTGAATAATAGTGGTATTAACTGGGCTTTCTTTCCTGTAGGTGCATGGATATTATCTTATCACAGACAGCATTGTACCTCATGACTGATCTGGATATGTTCTTTTTGACAATGAATGCAACACCATTCCTCTTCAATTTGTAATTCCCAGCATAGTAAACCATGTGGTCTTCAGATTCAAAATGGCCAATACCAGTCCATTTCAGCTCACTAGTACCTAAGTTATCGAAGTTTATGTATTCCATTTCATTTTTGACAACTTCCAATTTTCCCAGATTCATGCTTTGTACATTCCATGTTCCGATTTTCAATGGATGTTTACAGCTGTTTCTCTTCATTTTGAGTTGTGCCCCATCAGCAAATGAAGGTCCCACGGGCTTTTCTCCAATGGGCTTTACTCCATTTACATCATCACAGTCAGCTCCACTTTGAGGAGGCAGCTTTTTGAGTGCCTTCCAACCTGAGGGGCTCATTTTCTGGCACTATACCTGACAATGTGTCTCTACTATTCATTAGGTTTTCAGTGACTAAATATTCAGAGGTAGTTTGTCACTTCTTCTTCCTAGTCTGTCTTTGTCTGGAAGCTCATCTGAAACCTGTCCACCATGGGTGACACTGCTGGTATTTAAAATACCGGTGGCATAGCTTTCCGAATCGCAGCAACTCATACACCACCACAGTATGACAAACTGACAGACAAGTGGAGGACATCTTATATTAAGGTTTCTCAATTTCAGCACCACGAGTATTGACATTTGGCACCCCATAATTCTTTGCTGGAGGGACTGTTCTGTGCATAGGATGTTTAGTAGCCACCCTGGCGTCTATTTATTAGATGACAGTAGCAGCTACCACCCCAGATAACCAAATATGTAACAACCAAATATGTCTACAGATACTGCAGAATATACCCAGGGAGCCCAAATCATCCCTAGTAGAGAACTACTGAGCTAGAATATGTGACCCAACCCACTTACTGGTTACTTCCTCTTTCTCACTGAAGGTCTTGGCACCTTGTTCAAGGTCTTCCCTCCTCCACTATTTAGAATATCCTTCATGATTTAATTTCCAACACCTTTCCCTTTTACTTCCCTGACTTTTTCATCTGCAGTGATTACATCTGCCACCTCATCTCAACTACTCACTTCCAAGGTGAGATTTAGACTTTGCACAAAATACACTTCTAAAATCTTGATTTCAAGCATCTTAGATTTTGCCTATTCCTGTCTTTGTTGTTGTTGTTAAGTGCTGTCAAGTCGGTTCTGACTCATAGCGACCCCATACATGGTTTCCAAGGAATGGCTGGTGAATTTGAATCGCTGACCTTCTGGTCCTATCTTTATAGCTCTATAAATCTTCAGTCCTATTGGACTTTATTCTTTGACACCACTAGACTTTCATTTCTCTCTCGTGACTTCACCTTACCTGGTTTGGAATCCACCTTATATTACTACAATTACTCTTTTGCAAAATCCATTCTTTTCCAAAATCTCTCGGTCCCTCTTTTCTTTCACTTACCAAAACTCCAACCTTGGTTTCATCGTCCCTACGTTTACTTTGTGCTGGCCCCCAAATATTAAAGAGGGAAAGCGCACCTTTAATATAAAGCACTGGACTGCAAGGTCAGTTTGAACCACAAGCTCGGAAATTCAAACTTAGCAGCCACTCCTTGGAAACCCTATACAGGGTTGCTAAGAGTAGGAACCAACTCGACGGCATTCAACAACAGCAGTGTCTCATGTAAGGATTTCTGTGCTGTAGTGGTAAAACACTCGGTTGCTAACTGAAATGTTGGCAGTAAGAAACTACCAGCTAGGTACTCCAGGAGAAAAAGATGTGAAAGTCTACTTTCATAAAAATTACAGGCTAGGAGACTTTATAGGGCTATTCTACTCTGCCCACTAGTCATTATGAGTGGGTGTCAACCCAACAGCAGCGGTAATGACTCATCTTAACATTTTGACCAAAACATGAATTTTCACTGGCTATAAGATAAACATTGGATACACAAAAGCTTAGAATTAAAATATAGCTTCCCACTTACTCCTTGGAGTCCTCGCATGGTGCTGTAGGATAAACACTGGACAGCTAACTGCAAGGTTGGCGATTGAAACACACCAGTTGTTCCTTGGAAACCCTATACATGGTTCCAAGAACTGATTCAACAGCACTTAACAACAACTATTTGTTCCTTAAAAATTCTTGAAGGTTATGAGATACCTGAACAATCTAATAGCCCTAAGTAGGCCACTGACCACCTCCCATGTATAAAATAATTTCTAAACTATGTCAGCTCAAAATGCTAGGCACTGCCACAAAGATGATCTAGCATACACAGCCACATATTACTAATCTACAACACTAATAATATCTGGTAATTCCTTGAGATTCTCCACTTTCAATCTTAAGTCATCAAATATCTTTAAAACTCAGAAAGCTTTTTATATATTATGCCTAGAGACTGTCCTCTTAAGAGTTCCAATTCAAACTTTTGGGCAATTTTAGGATTACTTCAGGTCTCAAAACTGTAAAAAAAAAAAAAAAAAAAA